TAAAACACCAATCCTTTTGCAGAATCTAGGCATTTGTCCCTGCAGACCCAAGCATCAAGGACAAGGACAAGCAAACTATGGTCTGTGAGACAAATCTGGCCCATCATTATTTTATAAATAAAGCTTTATTGGAACACAATAAAATGTATTCATTTACAAGATATCTATGTCCACAGTTGTAACAGTGGAATGGAATGGCTGCAATAAAGACTGCATGACACCCACATCTTAAAGCTCTGTACAGAAAACCATCTGTCGACTCCCACAAAAGGCCATGGCTCCATCAGGAACCCTCCAGGGCTAGAAGACCCCAAATAGCATCTAACAGCAGACCGAGGAGTAAGAACCACCAAGCATCGAGTAGATGTGGTGTTTGTGCGTACACCAGGCTCCGTACTGGATCCTGTATTAGCCCGTGTGCGTGGTGAGGGCACAGCTAGTTAAAGGTGAGGTAATGGAAGAGAAGGTGCCGGAAGCCATGATGCTGTGAGCTGTGGGGTTTATTCCACCTCGAGGCACAACACCAGCCAGCTCCACTCTGAACCGTTGGCTTACACCATTGACCCCCAATCCCCATGTCCTGCTAGCACAACTGAGGCCCAAAGCAGGGAAGAGGCTTCTGAGGTCATTCGGGGTCCATGGCAGAGATGAGGACAGGATTCTCAGTCTCCCTCGGGAACTCCCAGGTCTGGAGCCAAACAAGGCTGCCTTCAGTCACATACTAAGCACCTGCTGGGTGAGCCCTAGGAGACAGAACGTCGAATCTCCAGCCACATGATGACTATGAATGGTTTTGGGTTTTTTTTTTTCATTTTTTTCAGAGGCCCCACGATCACTGGGCATTTGTCAGCAGTGCCAAGAGCTGTAAGTAGAGTCTGCTTTGTACCCAGTGCCCAGGCCGCAGGGTGAAGTGTTAAGAGTCGGAGGTTTCTCTGTGCTGGCTGTCCACAGGCACCAGCCTGGGGTCCGTTAGTGTGGGCTGACCTGTGAGGCTTCTGCCTGCCCGTGCTGGCCCAGCGCCAGTTCTGCTCTCCTTTCCTCCTCCTGGGACCACGGAGTGCACACCAGGTCCTGCTCATCTCTGTCCAACCTCCTTTGTACGAAGGAAAGTGGCAGCAACGCGAGCTGCAGCTGGATGCAAGTGTGCACCCACATCGGGGCACTTAACAGTCAGCAGGACTTTCAGGCACAGAGACACACGCAGACACACTGCCCCAACCACACAACGTCAACCACCTGAACACTGTCCCAGCAGACTGGAGACGCGGAGTCGCCCAGAGAGCCTGGCAATTGGAGTGGCCACTTCGGACGTCGGCATGGCCGCTGGCCCTCACACGATCAGCCATGGCCTGGTCCATGGAGCCCTGTGCCGCGCTAACCTTTATCAGTGCAATCGTGTCCCCTCCACCTCCTCAAAGGACAGGGGTGGGGTGAGGAAGGGGGAAATGACTCTAGCTCTGCAGACTCCACGAGAGCTTTGCTTACTGCAAGGACAGGCACTTTGGGGTGGCTTTTCAAAATCCTGAGGGAGGCAGAAACAGATGTTTCAGGTCCTGGGGGGCCAGGAACGTGCGTCCATCCTGCAGAGTCCCAGGCCAAGGGTGCTTTGCTTCTGCTGGCCATGAGACTCCACCAGTGAAGAACACCGGAGGGAGGACAGGTACACCATGTGGAGTCCACAAAGGTGGGGGGCAGGGAGGGCTGTCCTAGCCCCCTTTGGGGTTTTCTGGGCTGTGAGGTCGGCAGCAGCAGCAAAGGGTGAGGGAGGGATGGGACAAAGCACCCTGAACTGCAGTATATGCTCAGTTCCCCTGGAGACACACAGCTCACTCATGGAGCCATGCTAGAATGTTCCACGGGCTCGCTTGCTCTTGCCATGTGGTGGGGGGGGGGGATGTCTCTTTCCCTTTGAGCTGGCTTGGTCCTCTCTGACACACGCTGTGACATCGCCTCTGTATTTGTTGTGTGCTCTGTATTCACTGTCCATCCTGACGCTTGTGAATGGGGGAGCTGTTTCCAGGTACCCCTGATCTCGGGCCCCTGTGCTAGGAACTCACTGCTGTGGTCTCTGACTTCACCTGCTTGAAACCTCGATTCCTAATGCAGTATTAGCAGAGGCAACGTGGTCACGACGGCTGGGCCGGCATGGACGAGGACCGCGTCCTGTGGAAGAGGCGTGGGAAGCGTTGCTCCCCTACCATCACATGAGAGCCGATTACAGGGACGGCCATGAGGAAAGGGGCCTGCCGGACACACTACAGTGAGGCACCTGGGATCCCCACCTTACAAAGGACTTGTTCTGGCTACAGCATGGGGGGCTCCAGCCCATGAGCACCTGGCCTATGGCACTGGGCCTGTGGTAAGCAGCACATCACAGCAGGAAGATGCAGCCGAGGAAAGCTGCTGAGCTCCTGGAAGATGAGCAAAAGCACAGCATGGAGAGAGCTAGGCTCCATCATCCCCTCCAAGGCCTGGTCTCCAATGACCTAAAGACCTCCCCGACCTGTCAAATGCCTTTGGGTACATTCAAGATCCAAGTACCACACCGGCCAGCATTTTGGTGGACCTTTCCACCTCCCAAACTGTGAGCAACACACATCTGTGATTTATAAGGCACCAAGTGTATGGTATCCTGTACATGCAGCCCAAATAGACTAAGATACTCACCCTCCAGCTGCTCCACCATTCACACTTGAGACACAGTCATTGGACAATAGAAAGAATGGCAATAATCTTAAGGATTATCCCTTTTTGGGTGCACATACTGTGTCAGGACAGTGAAGTGCATTATCTTAACTACTGTGCCCTCCATCTCAGAGATAAACACCAGGCTGGGGTTCTGGCATCAGACACAGCAGAAGGTCAGTGGCTAACAGTTCGCTGCCCAATGCGCACAGAGCCCGTGGGCTGTGTGAACCCTGATTATTGATCAGTATGTTGGAGTTAATAAGGCATACAGGGAAGGGGCGCTCTCCCTTACTCTATGTAGAGCCAGTTTTCGGAGATAGATTCCTGGTCTGTGTGTGGCCTGGGCACGACTGAGCCCTTCCCAAGCTCCCGTGGGCAAGACGACTATCTGAGGCGTGTCTCTATGACCCACAGGTCGGCTTGTGGAGGCACAGGACAGAGGTCTGGGACGAGATAACCAATTCCAGGGCAGGAGAAGCAGCAAGTACCCCTCTCCCTGCCTGGTCCCCCAGGACTCTGGCCTGGCACTGCCTTCTGTCTCCACCCCTTTGTCTATTTTGTGATGGTTAATATACCGAGCCGTCACTGCCTTCTTAGCCTCCAGGAAGTGGAGCAACTGTTATCTACCACAAACCACCGAAGCCTTAAATTACGGCAGGAATGCTGACAGTGATAGATTAGAATTTTTTAAAAATCAAACCCAAGCGTGTCCCTGTCAGGACTAAGGGCTGAGTTGACTTGAAAATAATTTACTTAGAAAATCTTGTGGTGCATGGTAAATTAAGTCCGCCCCCCCCCCTTTTAGCCAGACTTTCCTCTCTTCTTCTCTAGCAAAGTATTATAGGTCTACTTAATTGATTTCCAAAGACATCCTGCTAGGACTTAAAACTGGTACCACTGGGGAAAGATTGAGGACACCAGGGCTATGCCAGGGAAAGGGGTGGGAAATTGTTTAAAGAGTAGAGATTTAGAATCAAAGGGTCTTGGGTTTTTTTTCCCCCAGCCTTGAAAAACAGGACTGAAGAACAAGGGGAAAATCATCAGTGACAACAGCCAATGAATTTTAAATACTTATTATGAGAAAAAATTAATTTGTTAAACTAAGCCTATAGATTCAGGTTAAAAAAAAGTCGCTGTCTTCTTCACAAATGCAAAACTTGACAGTAAGGAAGAGCCGAGGGCGAGGTGGAAGGTCACTTCCACACTGGGCGCAGCTAATATCTGACACGGTGCCAATCACACCCATGCTGTCCGGGCATGTCTGGGGTTACTTTATTAGGGGCTTCATCTGCGCATGCCTGAGACCAGGCCACAGAGGGATGGGAGGCGCTCATACATCCTGGCCCTTAGTCATCACCCTCAAGCACTGGGGAGGGGGAGGGCAGGGCTTGGCCAAAGCCTCACACCTGCGGAGAGAAGAGTAGGCCACTTCTGCCTGGCCTGGTGTGTAGGTTCTTTACACCTGCCTTTACACTTCCTCCCTTCACAAATGTGAGCTGCAAGTCAGTTCCAGTTGCAGAGGCACGGCTCATGCAGATGAGGTCTGGAAGACGTGTCAGATAAGCTGGGTACCTGGGAAAAGAGCCAGGGGACCTTCATGGCCAAGGCTAGGTGAGCATTGCCCTGAGCATCCCCTTGGTCCCAAGTATTAGGGTGTTCTTGGCTGTCCTGACTCCCGTCTCTGGCCCCAGATGGCCTGTTCTGCCACTGGCTCTTGCTCACCCGTGTTCTCACCTTAGCTCCATGGAGCAGACCTTGCCTGTAACCCCTGTTCACCTTGACTGCTCACCCTCTCCTGCTCTGCCTGCCTGCTGTCAGGAGTACCAGACAGAGGAGGCAGCAGAAACCAGGGAGTAAAAGAGGATCTGCATGCAACTTTTCCCACGCATCACATGCTAGCCTCCAATGCCGCCCAGGCAGGCGACTCACCCAGCCACCAGCTTCTCAGCTCTACAAGGGAGAGAAGAGTTGGCAGGGCATTTGTTGGATACCAAGATCTTCCTTGGGTTCAATGCCCAGTTCTACCACTTCCTGTGTGACCTGGAACTGGTTGCTTGACCTCTCTATACTAGCATTCTACATTGGCACAGCTCCGGATGGCACCTCGCTCTCAGATCTAAGTGATGGCAAGCCCAAATCCGAGCACACGGTGAAGGAGCCCAGGGACCTGAGCTTGGTGGGTGTCAGCAGGTGCTTGGTATCTTCTTAGCAAGGTTGAGTCCAGCTGGCCTGGAAGCCCAGGGCTTTCCCCACATTTCAACTTGAGCAGTGCTAAGGCAGAGGACAGGGAATGCAGGCAGGCAACGCTTTTATTACACGCCCCCCCACCCCCCGCCACTGCCTCAGAACAGGGGGTGAAGAGCAAAAGTGCAACTTCCTTTAAAAGCAAGAGAATTCCAAGATGGTAGGCTGAGGCCCTGGGATGGGGAGGGGTGGTCCTCCCTTCGTCCCAGGCCCTGCACGCACGGCGAGAGGGGCTCTGGACCGCCCGCCCCACCTGTGGTGACTTGGAAGCCCTAAGGTCACTTGTGCGAAGGCTGTGTCCCTTTCACGGGCTGCACAGTGGGTCACCCGAGACCGGGCACCTCCGTGGGTGCCTCGGCTGGGCATGGGATCCACACAGATGCTGCTGGGGGCGGGAGACTCTGGGTCTTGAAGCAAGGTGGGCAGGAGACTAGTGGCAGAGGTCTTTCTGGAAGCTGAGGATGCTGAGCGGATGCCAGGCAGATGCTGGGTAGGAGGAGTGTCTGTGTGGGTCTGGGGTCGTATATTGCTGGTGATAACCACTGCTCTGACCACCCAAAGGAGGTACAGAGAGTCTCGCTAGGGCCACCAGGGAGGAAGGGCAGAGGAGAGCGGTGCCCTGTGGGCCAGGAGGGATGAGTGGTCTCCCATGGTACCAGCAGCTCGGCCTGAGCTCGTAAGGTCGGCCCCTCTAGAGCTCCTGGGCTGGCTGCTCCTCCACCTGCTCCTCCACTGGCTGCACGGCCTCCTGCACGTAGACGATGAACTCTGAGGCCTCTCCGCCCTGCGTGTACACGGTCACCGTCTCGATACCCTCCACGTCATCAGACGACACCACCAGGTGGTGCTGCTCGGCCAGCTCCACCGAGGCCTGCTGCAGCGTCTCCTGGATCATGACCGTGTGGTTGGCACTGGGCTCCTCCTCCGTGACCTGCAAGTGCGAGGGAGAGGTCAGGGCCTGTCCCCACCACACAAAACCGCCCGAGCGGATGGAGCAGCAGGCGCGCTCCGAGCTTAGCCACACGCTCCACACGCGCACTGCTGTGCTCACTCACGCCCGCGTCACACCGAGGAGAGCGAGGCCCCTCGTGCAGTCCCTCCTCGGTGGCAAATGGTGGAGTCCAGGTTCAAATCCAGAATCCAGGCCCTGTTCCAGGCGCCTGGCTGCCTCCCAGGGTCAGAAGGTGGCCTGGGGCTCACTCACCGAGCGTCAGGCACAGGGAAGAGGTCCTAGGAGCGGTCACTCCGGGGCTGGGATGTCCCAGTCCTCTGCCCATCAGTTGTGTCACTATCATCCCCAGAGGGGCAAATGCATTCACAGGATGCCCTTCCTCCCCAATCACTGGGGACGAGGTCTGCCTAGGGACGTGCTGACATGTCACTGGGGGAAGCCAGGCCCAGGGAGTGTCTTCAGGGGATGGGGACCTGGTAAAGTCTACAGCCAAGCCTTTCCTGTTAGCTCCAAGCCGGCAAGGGTCCAGGAAAGGCCAAATTCTAGCTAACTCCCTGCATCCCTGACTGTTACCTCCTTCTGGGTCTCTGAGGATCATGGTTTGAAGCAAGCCTAGGCAGACAAAGCCTCAGACTCTGCTCTCCAAATAACCAGCAAAATGCTGGATGGGAGGCATGGCTTAAGTGGTAGAGTCACAACTCTGAGTCAAAAAGCCAAATGAGAGTGTGAGGTCCTAAGTTTAAGTCTGGTATAAAGGTTAGACAATAGGCTCAGGAGGAAGGTACAGACCTGGGAATGACTGGCTGGAGGAACAGTCCTCAGACTTGCCTCTGTTAGGGGGTTGAGTGAAGGAGGAAGTGCGTGGATCTGCACCAAGCCCGTGGGAACATCAGCACCCCGCTTCCCGGCGCACCAGGCCAGGACAAGACCACTCCCTAAATATCCATTTGCTCAAATGCTTTCTTCAGAAAAGCACCTTGGGGACTAAAGAAGATTCTTCTTATAAAGTGGGTGCTTAATAGCACCTGGCCTCTTGCTTTATTCACTCATTCTCAGTCATTCATTCAGTCAGCTACCACTGGATTCTAAGCTCCATGAGGGTGGAGACCATGTCTGTCTCGGCACAGCCATCTCCCCAGAGCCAAGTCAATGCCTGGCGCATGGTAAGAGCCCAATATTTATGCAGTGATGATCTACTAGGTGCCAGCTGCTGTGGTGCTTAGGTGGCAACATAGTAAAAAAAATAAAAGCAACCAAAACCAAGAATCCCCAAGGATTCACTGGGGCCGGCTGGGAGCTGAGCATTGCTGCCCTGCCTGTGTTGGGGACCCTTGAGTAGGTGTGCGGTGTTCCAGGCAGGCACGGAGGGAAAAAGCCCTCCAGAAATATAGGCTGTGGTGGATCTACTCAGGACCTACCAGGAACCCCATTCCCGGGGCTCCGATTCTCCTGCAGGCGGGGGCCTCCCATTAGCGGCTTCATACTCCAGCCTGGTGTATGTATGACAGGCCGTGGCCTCCTCTCTCTGGGTTGAAGGTTCTCCCTCCAGCCTGGGGCTTATTCCCGTTGCTGCAGCAGGAAGGGCTAAGCGAACCGGGGGTCGTGTTCCATTCAGAGAAAAGTAGGGGAAGACATCGTGCAGCTTCAAGGGGCTCCTGTGTTAATACTGGAAGGAAATATGGGCTGGTGGAGAGTTACTGCAGGAGGAAACAATATAGTAAACCTGCTTCCTTTCAGAGTGAACCAAGACCTTTCCCTCTACTTTTTTGTGGGGAGAGGAGGGAAAGCGCAGTGTTGTGCTGGTTCTAAGGCCTGAATGCAGGGCCTTGTTTTGGCTTGACTTGTTTCACTCAAGGCTGGTGCTCTACCACTTGAGTTACACCTTCAGCTCTAGCTTTCTTTTTTGCTTATTAACTGGAGATGAGAATCTTGCATTTTCTCTGCCTGGGTTGGCTTTGAATAATGATCCTCAGACCTCACAGTCTCTTGAGTAGCTAGGATTTACAAGCATAAAACACTCGTGTCCAGATTTCCCTACTTCTTTTACTGTTTATTCCAACTCTAACTTGGAAAATGTGCCATGAAACAGGGCTTTAGAGGTAAATGCTGACTGTTTTCTCATTGAAAGAGAGCGTCTGACAGCAGATTCTTTCTTTTTAACTGACAGTAAAGTCTGCACAGATGGAAAGCCAAAATCCTTAGAATATCCTGAATGCAAACAAGCCCACCAAGCTCCAAGCAAGTGTGATGGTGCCACGTGGCGAACACAAGACAATGAATGTAATGAGATCAGATGGTATGCAGCCTTAAATACGTTCTGGGACATGGTGCCATTGTTTGAACATGGTAATTGTCATTGATGTTGAAGCCCCACCATGGAGTGATGACAGAAACTTTCTACTGCCTTAAAACTTCCTACTCTTTTGCTAAGGTGGTGCTTTACCACTTGAGCCATACCTCTAGTCCTGCTTTTTTCTATTATTTTGGAGAAGTGGACTTTTCTACCTGGGCTGGCTTTCAACCGAGATTCTTCAGCTCTTCTGAGTAGGAAGAATGATAGACATGAGCCACTGGTACTTACATCTTGTTTTTAAAAATGTCTAACACTATGTGGCCCAAATACAGATAGGCAGACACCCTGGCAAGGACAGAACTGCCCTGGCCAGGCCTCTCAGGTGAAGAGGCTGCAGTCCTGTTTGCATGCAGAATACCGGGCATACAACTAGTTCTCAGGCCCAGTGCCAGGCGGACCGGGAGGTCCAGTGGTGACTAGGACATGGCCACTGCCCACAGACATGAGGAATGAGACAAGGTAAAAAGCATTTAAACATAACCCTGTCTCCATTTTCTTTCTGTTTGTTTCTTCAATTTGCAGCTTCAGGAGTAGACAATCAAAATTATGCTTGAATTTATTTATCTGCTGCTAAGTTGTCAGGGTACCATGAAGTCTGCAAACCCCAGTTGGGCTTAAGTCACTAGACACCATGATGGAGATGGTGGCACTGCTTCTGTGAGCGCTTCCCAGCGAGCACAGGTGGAACCAACAGTGCGCTGCTGCTCTCTCATTTTCCCTGAGCCTTCCTAACGGGCCTGACACCTATCCAGAGCTCTGCGGTCTGCCCTCTGCCTGCCGCTGGGCTGCTTCGTGCGCTCAGGAGCCTCACGCATGGCACTGCCCAGCCCACACATGCTTGCTGCCTGCACAGATGCTCGCCCCGTGTAAACCAGGATGCATACCAAGCGTGGAGGACTGACCAGGATGGTCGGTCCTCCTGCCTTATGGATGGGTCATGCATCTTCCCACAGAGCACATCCCTCTGCATCCCAACTGTCACGTGACCACATCAGTGTTAAGACATTTCTGCAAGCCCTGGGCTTCCTCCCCGGCCCCCAGTGCAGCCTGCGGACACCCAGCCCTCACAGTTTACTGAAGACCTGCTCTCAGCTTGGGCATTTCTGTTCCCCCTTTACAAATGGGGAGACTGAAGTCCTGGGGATCAAGCAGCTAGCAGGGCTTGGTCCCAATGGCCCCGAGTCCAGAGATCATCCTCCACGGGTGTGTGTGTGACTGCCGCTGAGGTTATGACAGGTCACACACTGACAGGATGCCACCATTGTTCTCCAGCCAGCCTGGCGGCCAGGGGCTGCTCTAATCATTCTCTTTGTTCAAAATGATCACTAGTAGCTTAAGCTATTAGCACAGGCTTAAAATTGTTCTCCGCAGCAGAAATAATACGGCTTCCTCAGTGTCATTACCCCCGAGACGGATGTTCCATTTTCTACAAATGCTGTATCTAACAAGTCTTTCAGTCTATTAGCTGCATAGATAGCTTAATCGAAAACCTTGGCCCATGGAATGGTGCAAATCATTCACTAATTCTGGCCCTGCATTCTGCACTTCTGCCTGTCTCGAGTGTTCTTCTGGACTCTGGGCTAGCCTCTGGCTAGGACCTGGACACCTGGCAGCTGCAGCCTCTGGGTCCAATCACTCCGCAGCTGGATGGAGACACATATGAGGCAGGCCACAGGATGCCACCTCACACCTGTTCTGTCGTCACCTCCTCCTCCTTCAGCTCCCTCTCCACCTTCTATGTAAAATGCATCCCTAGTGAGTTCATCTGCCTCCCTCCCAACATTCAAGAAAGTCCCAGAAAACCTTTGCTCAGGAAGATGGGTCCTTGTTTTGAGCTATGTGGGTGCCTGCGATGGCTCTGTGTCTGTTGTCCCCTGCTGAACTGGCGATTCCTTGGGAGCAAAGACAGTCCAGGGGTCCTGGCTCCAGGAAAGCTCCAGAACTACCCACAAACGGACTCAGGGAGAGAGGACAGAGCACCACATACTATAGCCACATAATCTGGGGTCAGTGGCTGTGCTGCTTGTCCTGACTTCAAGCTCTGGAAACGGGAACGCATGGGAATGAGTCGTGAATCTCTTGTGGCTCCCCACATCCCAGAGGGTCCAGTCCTTATTTTTTATTTTTTTTGTCAGTTGTGGGGCTTGAACTCTGAGACTGGCCCATGTCCCTCAGCAATTTAGCTCAAGGTAAGCGCTCTACCACTTGAACCACAGCACCACTTCTGGTTTTCTAGTGGTTTAGTGGAGATAGTATCACAGACTTTCCTGCCTGGGCTGGCTTTAAACCGTGATCCTCGGATCTCAGCCTCCTGAGTAGCTGGGATTACAGGCGTAAACCACCAGTGCCCGGCATCAGCCCTTACTTTATAGGAGAGGCATTTGCCCGGGAACATAGTGTGGGAAACAGAGTCTAAGATGTCTTGATCTGTAGTTTGTATCCCAGCCAATCCTTAACTGGGCTACCTGACACCACCACAGGGTAGACTAGTTACCCAGAGAACCTTGCCCAGCTATTCAGTGCCAAGACTGTCCCAGGAGGGGACATGTGCATGCGTTTTCCCTGGAATTATTAAACACAGAGAGCAGATAGCGGATGACAACCCTGAAGACGCAGCTCTGTGTCC